TGTGTGTGTGTGTGTGTGTGTGTGTGTGTGTGTGTGTGTGTGTGTGTTTTACTTTTAAAGATCTAAGCAGTTCATAGTAAAGAAACAGCTGTATCCCTTGATCCATGTGACAAGTACAAGTCCTTCCAGTTTTTGGGAGGGGAGTTTCTGTTAATATCCCCATGGAATCTTTATCTTGTGAAATATTGCTGTGCTCCATCCCACCTAATCTGTCTTTTCTCTTGTCCCTTTTTTGAAATATTGTAGCAGACACTTTTAATTTTCTTAAGAGGAAAAATTAGTGAGCTGTTTCTTTGAATTATCTCTCACTGGAACCAAGATAATAACCACTTTGAAGTTCTGCCTAGGAATTCTATCTAAATTTCACATATATCATCATTCTTTCCTTCCACAATTATCCTTTCAACCTGTATGAAATACTATTTTACTGTTAAAGATCTAAATATTTCAAAGTTAAGAAACGAATAATTCTATCCCTTGATCCATTTGGCGGGTATGAGTCATACAAGGGTATCTCAAATTAACTATCTGACTGAGAAGTTATTTCCGTAAAAGTGGGACTTTCGTCCAATCTAATGATCATTTATTTTGAGTCAGAGTGCCTATAACTGTTTCTGTGAACAATGTGTTATTTGTTTCACTAGGGCATTTATTAGGTAGATTTGATTTCTAAAATGTATTTTAGAAAATAATTGTTTGAGTGAAAAGTTAACCATAGGAAGTACTTAAATGCTGGCACCTCTAGGCTGTTATTTATCAGAATACTTAACTACAAATTTAATAAAGAACATATAATTCAGAAGCATGTATGGATCCACATATCTTACACTATGGAAACACTATTGTATGTGTTGAGCATTTTAGGAGGAAATTCCAGTATGTCACATTATTTCATGTGCATGTCCCCTAAAGCATACTGGACTCTCCAAATAATTAAAATGTCAGGTCATCTAGCTTATCTTCGAAAAGGCTTCATAATTTACCTAAACTTTGGATTCCATTCTTTTACCCCTTCGTTTACAGAAATTATATGTCCTCACACAGTTATGCATGTATAACACAGTACATGTCAACTCTCATCACAAAAAGAGTAGATGTTCTTCTGGCTAGTTTGTCACCTTGACACAAGCTAGAGTCATTTTTGAAGAGGTAGCCTCACTTGATAAAATGTTCCCACCCAGTTGGCCCTTGAGCAAGCCTGCTGTGCATTTTTTGTAGTTTTTTTTAATGTTTTTATTTATTACAATTTATTCACTTTTACCTGGAAATTTCATGATTTCCTTGTTTTTAATTCCTGAGTACTATTCCATTATGTAAATGTACCACAATTTCTGTATCCATTCCGCAACTGAGGGTTGTTTCCAGATTCTGGCTATTACAAATAAAGCTGCTAAAAACATGGTTGAGCAAATGTCCTTGTTGTATACTTGAGCCTCTTTTGGATATATGCTTAGGAGTGGTATAGCTGGATCTTGAGGAAGCACTATTCCTAATTGTTTGAGAAAGCACCAAATTGATTTCCAAAGTGGTTGTACAAGTTTACATTCCCAACAGCAATGAAGGAGGGTTCCCCTTTCTCCACATCCTCTCCAGTATGTGTTGTCACTTGTGTTTTGGATCTTAGCCATTCTGATGGGTGTAAGGTGAAATCTCAGTGTCATTTTGATTTGCATTGCCCTGACGACTAAGGATACTGAACATTTATTTAAGTGTTTCTCTGCCATTTAATGGTCCTCTGTTTAGAATTCTCAGTTTAGCTCTGTACCCTATTTTTTTAATTGGTTTACTTGATTTGTTGATGTTTAACTTCTTGGGTTCTTTATATATTCTGAATAGTAGCTCTCTGTCAGATTTGGGGTTGGTGAAGATTCTTCTCCAATCTGTAGGCTGTTGTTTTGTTCTGATGACAGTGTCCTTTGCATTACGGAAATTTTCAGTTTCATGAGGTCCCATTTATTGATTGTTGATCTTAAAGCCTGTGCTATTGGTGTTCTGTTCAGGAAGTTGTTTCCTGTGCCAATGAGTTCAAGTCACTTCCCCACTTTTTCTTCTTTGTAGGCAAATGGTGGGAACTAGAAAAGATCATTGTGAGTGAGGTATCCCAGAAGCAGAAATACACACATTGTATATACTCACTTATAAGTGGATATTAGACATATAGTATAGGATAATCGCACTAAAATCTGTACACCTAAGGAAGCTAAGCAAGAAGGAGGACCCTGGGTAAGATGATCAATTCTCACTCAGAAAGGCAAATGGGATGGACATTTGAAGAACAAGAAAACAGGGAACAGGACAGGAGTCTACCACAGAGGGCCGTTGAAAGACTCTACCCAGCAAGGTATCAAAGCAGATGCTGAGTCTCATAGCCAAACTTTGAGCAGAGTGCAGATAATCTTATGAAAGAAGGGGGAGATAGAAAAACCTGGAGGGGGCAGGAGTTCCACAAGGAGAGCAACAGAACCAAAAAATCTGGGCCCAGGGGGCTTTTCTTAGACTTATACTCCAACCAAGGACCATGCATGGAGATAACACAGAACCCCTGCACAGATGTAGCCCATGGCAGCTCAGTGTTCAAGTGGGTTTCCCTAGTAAGGGGAACAGGGACTGTCTCTGACATGAACTCAGTGGCCTGTTCTTTGATCACCTCTTCATGAAGGGAGGAGCAGCCTTACCAGACCACAGAGGACGACAATGCAGCCAGTCCTGATGAGACCTAATAGGCTAGGGTCAGATGGAAGGGGAGGAGGACCTCCCCTATCAGTGGACTTGGGGAGGGACATGGGAGGAGATGAAGGGAAGGTTTGATTGAGAGGGGATGAGAAAGGGGGCTACAGCTTGGATACAAACTGAATAAAGTGTAACTAATAAAAATAAATTACCTAAAAATTATTCACTTTGTATTCCACTGTATCCCCTTCCCTTGTCCCCTCCCAATTCTGCTCTTCCTCCCTCTTCTCCCCCTATGCCCCTCCCCAAGTCCACTGACAAGGGAGGTTCTCCTCCCCTTCCATCTGACCCTAGCCTATCAGGTCTCATCAGGACTGGCTGCATTGTCTTCCTCTGTGGCCTGCTGTCCATTTTTTTAAATTTTTGGTTGATGTAGGAGGGTCCAGCTCACTATGGATGGTGACATTCTTGGGCAGGTGTTCCTGGGGTACATAAGAATAACATGCCATGGTGACCAAGCCAGTAGCAGCAGCCTTCCTCTATGGCTTCTGCATCAGTTCATGCCTCCAGTTTCCTATCCTGGAGGATAATGAACTACAAACTTTAAGCTGAAATAAACCTGTTCTTCCTCAAGTTGTTTATGGTCATAGCGTTTTATAACAGCAATAAAACCTTAAGACAGATGTAAATTAAAGAAGAGCAGTTTTGTGGTAAAATATACATTTATCATTGGTGATATTTGGTGTATTCATAGTGCAGTGTAACCATTGTTAATATCTAATTCCTAATTATTTTCATATACCTAAGAGGAAATCTCATACGCATTAAGCAGACAGCACTCTTCTCCACTCCCCAGCCCCTATACAACTCCAGTCCACTTTTTGTCCCTCCATTGGCTTGTGCTGAACATGGCATATAAATAGATTCCTACAAAATGCACCTTTTAATGTTTGGCTTCTTTCCTTTAGTATAATGTTTTCAGGATTTATCAAACAATGTACTTTGCTAGAGAAATGACTCAGCAGGATGGAGTACCAGTGGCTCTAGCAGAGGGCATGGATTTTATTCCTAACACCTACATGGTAGCTAACAATTTCCTGTAAATCCAGTCACAGGAGTTTCAATGCCTTCTTCTGACCTCTGCACACTAAGTATACATGTGGTGCAGACAAACATGCAGACAAAACATGCCTACAAATCTTTAAAAAAATAATAAGCTTTGTTCTTTTCTCCAGTGGAATATTCTGTGTGTAAGTGTTACACTTTGTCCATGTATCAGTTGATGCATATTTTGGCTGTTTATACCTTTGGATGATGAAAAACGATGCACAAATTTTTGAGTATGTTTTCTTTTTTTTTCTTTTCTCTATTTTTCTTTTTTTTAATCACTGCTATTGTTTTTAGGCAAGGTCTCATGTAGCCCAGGCTTTTCTCAAACTCAATACATAGCCACAATTGGCCTTGGGTTCCTGTTTTTGGACATATTACCAAAAGTGGAACTTCTGCTGGGCCCTATGGTAACTGTGATGAGACATTTGTAAATGAAGTATGCTAAACTAGTAGGTAGTCCTTCCTGCGAGGTGGAGGTTATATTATTATTTTTCTTTTGTTAATTTAACTTTTCTGGATGTCAATACTTCCCTAGGAAATGTGGTATTGGTATTTTTATTAAGAGACTACAAATTGGCATCATCAACCTGCACTTATATGAAACATATATATATATGAAGGTGGTCAAAGGTCCCTACCAATTGTAGTGCTGAGTCAGTTTAGTCACACTACTGATGGCTACCCTTTATCCACTGACTAAACTCCTCTGTCTCTCCACAAGTGAAATGGAGGTAATAACTTGTTTCTTAAGATTGATAAAAGAAAATCACATAGTTGATATGTAGTTGGTACTCAATTCCTCATATATCCTAGTGCTTTTAAAAATAACTGCTGGTCAAAATGACAGTATTTTCTTATGTTATCTCAGGTGAAAATTAAACTACCCAATACAAATCCTTCTGAAATTGAAATTGACATCCAAGAAATGTATCTTGATCTTCGCACTCCTAAAAAGTGAGTAAAGCATGAGATTGAAATAGACTACTATGACATTAATGAGTCATTAGAATACTTCCTATTAAAGTATAGTTATTTTTTCATCAACCTTAAAATCCCTAAGAAGGTGAAATTTCCATTGATCATGCAGACATTTTGATCTACACAATTGAATATGAGGGCTAGACTATAACTGTGGTGAAGTGCTTGCCTAACGTGCATAGGAGTCTGTAGTCAGTCCAAAAATGTTTGGAAATACCTAGGTTTCATATTTTGCAGGTGCATAATAGGTGTGGGTTGACCCCATTGGAACATAGTCCTTGACATTCCAATATAGTTCTGCCTATCAGAAAAAAAAAAAAAAAAAAACACAGCTAGAAGTGAAATTCTGCTAAGCTGTAAGCCTTGCTTACATACTAATATGATGTTGGTTCAATGGTTATATAAAAGAAGCATTACCTTTAAACTTTCTTGATGTTAGTAGGCCTCAAAGATAAAATTAGAATATGTCCATTTTTAAAAATGCACAAAATCATTCTTCTTATTACATCAGTTCAAGTCATGTTCCACAGACAACACATACAGGAAAAGTCTTACAACATATTTCACCTGAAGCATAGATAAAAGGGAGGGGAAGCTCCAATTGGGATGTAAATTAAACGAATTAATTAATGAAAAAAAGAACAGCTATGCCTCTTAAAACTAAATCTTTAAAAAGGATATTGTTGGAACTGAGTGTGTGTTAGATAAAATATCTAAATATGTCACATATTTGTTCAGTTTCCATGTGGATGTGCAGTAGTAAGCAAATATCTGTGATTGCTGTGGCCCTTTCTCTGTAACTCATCACTATTTCCCACTGGGTTTAAGAGGCAGGTAGTTCCTGGAACATTCTCTTCCATTATTATCAGTATCTACAATCCTCTTTTGTTGAGCTTAGTTACGGCTTTGAGAAGATTAAAAAAAAAAGAATAGTCAACAAAAGACCACTTTTTATTTCTGCAGTAGATTCATTTAATGCAAAATGATCTTCAGATGAATATTTAGCTAAACCTTCTTCTGATTATTCCCCACCATTTAAAAACATAGTCTCATAAAAATATTTCATCCTACAAAAATTAGATTCATTCTTCTTACCACCACTCCGAGGATTAGTTAAGCTTTGCACTGTATTTTTATATGCATGTATTCTTTCTCCAACCTTAGTAAGGAAAGTTAGTTAAAAGAACAGTCAGTCAGTCTTCTGTGATATTTTCATGCCTGCTAAAACTGCACGCATATCTACACTCTGCACAGTTAATTTCCGTTTCTCCAGCAGTTCTCACTGTCACCATCAATCTTGAGGCAGCTGTTCTAGCTCTGCCATCATTCCAGATATCCATCAAAGCTCACTAAATGAAAGTCTCTCACCGAGGTACTTTTCCACATAGATCTTGGGCTGCACTAGGTCGTGTGTATACTCCATTTATACTTTGCAATATCTAAATAACATGTACAAATGAAAAATAACATACATACTTCTCAAGTTTGCTTTCTATTGTTGTGGTAAAAGACTGACCAAAGGCAACTTGGGAAGGAGAGGGTTTATTTCATCTTTACAATTCTCAGGCCATATTCAATCATTGATGAAAGCCAGGCCAGGAACCTGGAGAGACAAGAACTGAAGTAGAGGACATGGAGGAGAGCTTCTTACTGGCTTGCTCTTCATGGCTTGCTCAGCTTGCTTTCTTATACAAACCAGACCCACCTATCCAGGGGTGAAAACAACTGCAGTGGGTGGGGCCCTCCTATTGACCATTAATTTAAAAAATGTCCTATAGACATGCCTACATGCCATTCTGATAGGCAATTCCTCAACTGAGGTTCTTTCATCCTAGTGACTCAACTTTGTGTCAAGTTGACCAAATTAGCCAGCACATGTACATTTTAGGTATTAAATAATCAGTAAAGGGAGTAACAACTCTTAAGCAAACTTAACTAAAATAGAAGAGAAATATAGGATTATTTGAGCATCTTTTAAAGCTATGCTGTTACCTCAAACTATATAATCATAAATATGCCTTGGCGTGAGTGTATACACATCCCAAACTACTTCGCTTACTTTCTATCCACAACATTCTGTGATGTTGTGTTTATGCGCTAAAAAATGTTTTCATGGAAGACATTATGTTCATGTATCTAAAGGTAGAACAAGTGAATTTATTTTAATTAAATTGAGTAGTGATTTCCGTCAAACAGTAGTAAGATGCATTGTATTTTCTTAAAGCCCTAATAGTTTAGCACTATTCAACCAAAGGAGAGGTTTGATGTTTTTTTGTTTGTTTGTTTGTTTGGTTGGTTGTTTTTTTTTTTTTTCTGTTGGTTAGATTGAATTAGCTAGAAAAGAAGAAAGATTAGGGAGCAACAATTTCCAGAATCTCCTAAATTTTGCCTACATATTGAAGTTTCATTAGTTTTGTAATTTAATTCTTAAAATATTGTAAATAAATGCTTTAAAGTGGTCATCAAAACCATTAAAAAGAGAATTATAAAATTTAGTTTCCAAGAAGTTACCTCCCTACTTTACAAAATCAGATTCGTAAGGGTGAGGCGAGAGTTCAGGCGGTAAAGAGTCTGGCACATAAGCATGAAGCCCTGCAATCCGATGCTACATAAAAGCCAGGGACAGAGCTTGCTGACTAGTTTTAGGCATAGTAGAGGCCTGTCCAAAAAAAAAAAAAAAAAAAAAGCCCCACCAAAATCAGTCAGTCAAGCAAACAAAAAACCAAAACCATGAAAAGCAATTGTAAAAGATCAACCTCTGGTCACCATATGTACTCCTTTGCATACGTACACCACCCACACAGAAACACAAATACATACAAAATGCCAGATTTCGTTACTGAATTGTATCCAGGAGACTTTTACTGTCTGCCTTAAAAAAAAAAAAAAAAAAAAAAAAAAAAAAAAAAAAAACAGCAGCAACAACACCAACAAAAACACTCAAGCCTTGTCTACCGGGAAAGTGAGGTTTAATAAGTGTTCCACATATTTAAATTTCTTCAGGTGTCAGCAAGTGCTGACCCTATACATAACTCAGATTCATACCACTGTGACAGAATTACAGCTACCTTATCACAGTGATACATTTAAAAGCATACAACTGTCCAGCAGCTGAGCCATACACAGCATAATAAACCCAGCAACCTATCACAGCAGCTTTTCTTTTTTTGGGGGGTGGGGGTCAGTGTGTAGTAGAGAGAACCAGAGGCAAGCAGAAAGAAATATTTTCATTGATGTGGCATTGAAATCATCCCAGGCCAAATATTTAAAGCCTACATATGTAATAGATGCTCAGCCTAAGGTGGCATTCACAGAAGCATTAAAGAATCACTCCAATATCAGACAGCATATTCCATATTCTGCATTCCACCTACACATATATTAGACTGACACCAGATTAGCCCAACAAACTCAGGGGCATGGTTCCATTTCTCCACCTGGAGGCATAACCTGACACTGTTTTTACAATGCAAAGTGAGGTCAATTTAAAGAAAAAGAGAGGGCCAAGATGGCGACTAGCACACACAATTTCCGAGCTGTGGAAGAGATAAAGTTCTGAGTTGATGAGTGGAAGAACTGCTGAAGCCAGGGAAACAACGGAGAGACTTTCTAAACAACAGGGAACATCGCAGGAGGGGAAAACCTTGGTCTCGGGTCACCCAGGGACTTGTTTGGGGAAGGTGAGAAACGATCCTTTGATCTCTCGGCACTCCCCTCCCCCAGACCTCCCTCCTCCTTGGCACAGCGGACTCGCCTTTCTCAGCCCAGACATAACTGGCCTGGGGCCTGCAGCCACTGAGGCGGAGCCCCAAGCCCTTTATTGGCAAAGGCCAGCAGTACTGTGTCTTGGAGCCCCAGATTCGCGCGGCGGCTGCACCATCCTCCCAGGATGTGAGTCTGCTAGACGCCATACTAGCTCTGCAGGAGCGCCATCACTGATGGTACGGCCCGCCCAATCCCACAGTGACAGAGAATACACTATATACTCACCAAAACCAGACAGAAACGCCATACAAGCTAGACACACCAGGCGCTGGGCCTCCGAAGCTTGGAGAGCACAGTGAAGAGACCCCAAGACTTCCCAGAAAGCATCTGGACTAGCAACCCAGTCTCCAGTTACAGCGGGACTTTCTAACCTGGCGGCGGAGCAGCACTGAGCTGGCAGGGCACATCAGCCCTCCAATTTAAGACTAACCAGGGCCAAACCAGAGAACAGAAAGCCTGATTACCCCGATTCCTACTGACATGACCACCCTGAAATCTCCAGCTGCAGCAAGACCTCATAACCTGGCAGTGACAGCAGCACGGAACTGGCGGAGCACATCAAAGAAGCAGGGCCAAACCAGAGAGCAGAGAGCCCACATACCCAGATCTCTGCCAAGTGACCTGCCTGTAAGTGAGTGCACCCTTGAGAATCTGCAGCTCCCCTGATCCTGGGTCCTTCTAAAACAGAAGCCAGGCATCGAACCCCCTCCCACCCATATACCCACTTTGGGAAACAGAGGGGCACTTGGAACATTGAAGTTCCTGCTCTGTGGGTCTAATTGAGGAGTTAAGGCAGTTAATGCCAGAAATTGCTCTGCGATCATCACTAGCGACTGCGACATATACATTGCAGAGCCCCTCCCACACACTCAAGGGTTCAACATTAGCCATTTGCAGATGATATGATAGTATACATGAGCGACCCCAAAGATTCAACCAGAGAACTTCTTCAGCTGATAAACACCTTCAGCAAAGTGGCAGAATACAATATCAACTCAAAAAAAATCAGAAGCCCTCTTGTATACCAAAGACAAAAAGGCTGAGAAAGAAATTAGGGAAACAACACCCTTCACAATAGCCACTAATAACATAAAGTACCTTGGTGTGACTCTAACCAAGCAAGTGAAAGACCTGTTTGAGAAAAACTTCAAGTCTTTGAAGAAAGAAATTGAAGATCTCAGAAGATGGAAAGATCTCCCGTGCTCATGGATTGGTAGGATTAACATTGTGAAAATGGCCATCCTGCCAAAAGCAATCTACAGATTCAATGCAATTCCCATCAAAATACCAACTCAATTCTTTACAGACCTTGAAAAAAAGATTCTCAGCTTCATATGGAGAAACAAAAAACCCAGAATCTCCAAAACGATCCTGTACAACAACAGATCATCTGGAGGTATCTCCATTCCCGATCTCAAGCTGTACTACAGGGCAACAGTAATAAAAACTGCATGGTATTGGCATAGAAACAGAAAGGAGGATCAATGGAATCGCATAGAAGACCCAGAAATAAACCCACACACCTATGAATTCTCAATATTTGACAAAGAAGCCAAATCCATTCAATGGAAAAAAGACAGCATCTTCAACAAATGGTGCTGGACCAACTGGATGTCTACATGCAGAAAAATGAAAATAGATCCATATTTATTACCCTGCACAAAACTAAAGTCCAAGTGGATCAAGGACCTCAACATAAAACCAGATACTCTAAATCAGTTGGGAAAAAAAAGTGGGGAACAGCCTAGAACTCATTGGCACAGGAGACAACTTCCTGAACAGAACACCAACATCACAGGCTCTAAGAGCAACAATCAATAAATGGGACCTCATGAAACTGAAAAGCTTCTGTAAAGCAAAGGAAACCGTCATCAAAACAAAACGACTGCCTACAGATTGGGAAAGAATCTTCACCAACCCTTTATCTGACCGAGGGCTAATATCCAGTATATATAAAGAACTAAAGAAGCAGAAAAGCAACAAACCAAGTAATCCAATTAAAAAATGGGGAACAGAGCTAAACAGAGAATTCTCAAAAGAGGAACATCGAATGGCAGAGAAACACTTAAAGAAATGCTCAACCTCATTAGCCATTAGGGAAATGCAAATCAAAACGACCCTGAGATTTCACCTTACACCCATCAGAATGGCCAAGATGAAAAACTCAAGTGATAGCACATGCTGGAGAGGTTGTGGAGAAAAGGGAACCCTCCTCCATTGCTGGTGGGAATGTAAACTGGTTCAACCACTTTGGAAGTCAATCTGGCGCTTTCTCAGACAACTAGGAGTAGTGCTGCCTCAAGACCCAGCTATACCACTCCTAGGTATATACCCAAAATTTGCTCAAGTACACAACAAGGACATTTGTTCAACCATGTTCGTAGCAGCTTTATTTGTAATAGCCAGAACTTGGAAACAACCCAGATGTCCATCAACGGAGGAATGGATACAGAAATTGTGGTATTTTTACACAATGGAATACTACTCAGCAATCAAAAAGGAGGAAATCATGAAATTTGCAGGCAAGTGGTGGGATCTAGAAAAGATCATTCTGAGTGAAGTATCCCAGAAGGAGAAAGACAAACTTGGTACATACTCGCTTATATAGACCTACAAGATATGATAAACATAATGAAATCTACACACCTAAAGAAGATAATCAAGAAAGTGGACACAGGCGAAGGTGATTAATCCTCATTTAGAAAGACAAATGGGATGTGCATTGAACTTATGACAGGAGTCTACCACAAAAGGCATCTGAAAGACTCTACCTAGCAGTGTTTCAAAGCAGACACTAAGACTCATAACCAAACCCTCGGCAGAGTTCAGGGAATCATATGAAAGAAGGGAAGTTAGTATGATATGGAAAGGATAGGAGCTCTACGAGGACCAAATATATCCGGGCACAGGGTCTTTTCTGAGACTGACACTCAACCAAGGACCATCTATGGATATAACCTAGAACTTCTGCTCGGATGTGGCCCGTGGTAGCTCAGTAACCAAGTAGTTTTCCAAAGTAAGGGGAACACGGACTATTTCTAACAGGATCTCAAGGGCAGGCTGTTTGACCACCCCCCCAGGGGAGGAGCAGTCTGTTAGGCCACAGAGGAGGACTTTGCAGCCAGCCCTGAAGATACCTGATAAAACAGGGTTAAATGAAAGGGGAGGAGGTCCTCCCCTATCAGTGGACTTGGAAAGGGGCAGGGAGGAGGCCAGGGAGGGAGTGTGGGGTTGGGGAGGGGATGAGGGAGCGGGATACAGCTGGGACACAGAGTTAACAAAATGTAACTAAAAAGAAAAATAAAATTAAAAAAAATAGACTAAAAAAAGAAAAAGAAAAAATATATAAAAAAAGAAAAGAAAAAGAGAGAATCAATCAAAGCATCTGGTTAGATTTTTTTTTTTTTTTTAATGAGATGGGTTCTTACCTTCCTAGAAGTATAAACAGACAAACTGGTATATGAGCTGTGTTAAATAAGTATATTTTTATTCAGCATGTATTTTATCTAAATTATTTTGTGGGAAAGTCAAACATACTGGTGATAAGGCATACATATATACATACATACATACACACACACACACACACACTGCCTTACTGAAAATGTTACATCACTTTAGGAAGTTAATCCCAGGTTCTAATCTTGTTCTGGTTTATCTTATCTCATTTTCAGGAAGCTGTTAGTAAACTTTCCCCAGCCCGTGCACTATAACAGTGCTAAAGCAGCCTACATCTGGGAAGTTGAAACACTTGAAGTCAGGATGGCCCTGAAAAGGGAGTTTGACTATTGTCTTTCCTGAAACTTCATGAATAAGGAGAAGAGACAGAGAAATTCATGGCGGTGATAACACTTTTTGTAACTTTGAATAGTGCTTGTTTGTGTTCTCTATTTTTCTGACGTATTGTAGAAAGGTTCAGTATTTTAGTGGTGTTTCGATCATATGCAGTCAAGTCTACTACTGACAGGCAACATGGTTTGTCTCATACAATAAGGTGCTGGTTCACTTTTATAGTGAGAGGTGAATAAAATATTTACAGGTTAATCAGCTAGATCAATCACACAGAGGAACTATGATCATAAAATAAGTGATTCACTTAAGTCAGCAGTCTGAAGATATTAAGCTTATTAATTACCTACTATAGAAGCTGCTACATAGAGATCCATTATTATTATTATCACCAGAAAAAAATGTATTTGGTTGCCTTTTCATTGATTTTTATCAAATAATTTAAGTTGTTTGCAATCAAGGCTCTCAATATTGTTCTGGAACATACAAGTAACAAAGGGTTATAAATAATTTGCCTTGTCATATAAGCCACATGTCTTCTTAAAAAGTAATATAGATATATTTGTAGATTGAATTTTATCTCATTTTTAACTTTCTAATTGGACATTCTTATTTTTATAGGTTATTCCTTGCATTGTCTCTACAATTGAATAAATTTATTTAATGGCTGTTTAATAAAAGGTTACATATTATCATTGTTGTAATTTGTCTTCACACATCACTGTAGAACTGTGGATATTGAATGGGAATAAATTGTGAAAAGAAAAACAACTGGAATGTGTTTATCATTTCTATGTTAACCATCAAGAGAATACTCAGTAAGATATTTCCTGGAGTCAATTATGTATATGACTACCAGACATCTAATTTGTGACTAGATTTAACAGAAGAATTACGCTAAAGCTTTGGAAGAAGTTTTTATCAAAGCATTAAGCCAAGAGATTCTGACATTTAAGTTACCACCATGACTACATTCTGTGAGCCGAAGCATTGAGGGAGAGGAAGAGGGAAGAATGGAGGGACCCAAAAGAAGGTAGTGTCTCTGAATGTCAGTCACTGGTGTTGCAGCACCAAAAAGTTCCTTGCTTTACCGTTCTTAGCAGCTTCTAAGAATGTAATATCACAGAACAGGTGTGGCGCATGCCTTTAATCCCAGCACCCAGGAGGCAGAGGCAGACAGATCTCTGAGTTTAAAAGCAGTCTGGTATACAAAACAAGCACATAGACAGCCAGGACTACATAGAGAGTCCTTGTCTCAAAAATGACCTGAAATGTATTCTCTGGGGCAAATTTAGGTAGTAAACAGTATTTTTCTTTACTAGAGAGCAATGGTGACTCTGAAAAGCGTGTCTCTTTTTGTCTGTGTAACACTGGCTCTAATTATGAAGACATTATTACTCAAACTAACTAAATGCATTCAAGTTGTCCCTAGAAGAAAAGATAGAGCATATTTAGGCCAACATGACTTGGTCTTTGTTTATGTTGTGTTGTATCAATTATATAATGAAACAAAGCTCTATGATTATTCTCCTCTAGAAATCACCTTACCTTACTGTCATTGGCCTTAGAGTAAAAATGGCATTGGTTATACTGTTCTTTTGTTTTAAAGCAAATTTGTAATACTTTTTTCTTTTCTTTCTCCTTTTTTTACTATATGTGTACCAGTGCTTTGCCTGCATGTATGTCTGTGTGACTCATGCTCAGCATTCTTTCAGATATACTGGAACTGGAGTTACAGACAGTTGTGAGCTACCATGTGAATGTTGAGAACTAAATCTGGGTCACCTGGAAGAGCAGTCAGTGTCCTTAACCACTGAGACATCTCTCCAGCCCCAAGACTTTTTAAATTTTTTAAAATAGAAATAGTTCACTAATACTGTAGATTTTAGTATGTTTATCCTATATTACATGGCTAATATCCACTTATAAGTGAGCATATATCATATGTGTTTTCTGGTTCTGGGTTACCTCACTCAGGATGATCTTTTCTAGTTCCATCCATTTGCCTGCAAATTCCACGATTTCCTTGTTTTTAATTTCTGAGTAGTATTCCATTGTGTAAATGTACCACAATTTCTGTATCCATTCCTCCGTTGAGGGACATTTAGGTTGTTTCCAGATTCTGGCTATTATGGCCTGTTCATTAATTACCTCCCCCTGAGGGGGAAGCAGCACTACCAGACCACAGAAGAAGACAACGCAGCCACTCCTGATGAGACCTAACTGACTAGGATCAGAAGGAAGGAAAAGAAGGCCTCCCCTATCAGTGGACTTGGGGAGGTGCATGCATGCAGAGGGTGGAGGAAGGGAAGGATTAGGAGGAGGAAAGGAACCACAGGGGGGATACAAAGTGAAAAAAGAAAAAGAAAAGACACACAGGGTCTTGAGGAAGGCTGTGTGTGTATGTGTGTGTGTGTGTGTGCATGCATATGGTTTAGATAGTAAAATGCCTCCAAAACCCTAGATACTAAAAGCTTAGTTGCCATAACATACTGTGGGGAGGTGGGAGAACCTTAAGGGTATGAAGTCTAGTTGGAAGAAGTTAGGCCATTAGGGAACTGAATTGAAGATTCAGACGTTAAGTCCAAATACCTTAAGTCAGATACCTGACTTTGATAAAGAAGCCAGGAATACACACTTGAGAAAGACAGCATCTTCAACAAATAGTGCTGGTTAAACTGTATGGCTGCATGTAGAATAATGTAAATAGAGTATACTTATCACCTTGCACAAAAGTCAGGTACACATGTATCAAAGACCTCAACATAAAACCAGATACACTGAACCAATAGATGAGAAAGTTGGGAATAGCCTTGAACTCATTGACACAGTTAAAGACTTTCTGAATAGAACATAATTATCACAAGCACAAAGAGCAATTAATAAATAGGAAGCTCATGAAACTGAAAAGCTTCTGCATGGCATTGTCCCTAAGACAAATCAGCAGCCTACAGGATGGAAAAAAGATTACCGACTGCATATCAGATAGAAGGCTAATTTCCAAAATGTATAAAGAACAACAACAACAAAAAAAAAACCCTATATAGCAAGCAAACAAATAACACAATTTAAAAATGGGGTACAGATCTAAACAGAGTTATCAAAAGAGACTCAAATGACCGAGACACACTTTAATGTTCTACATCCTTAGCTATCAGAGAAATGTAAATTAAAACTACTTTGACATTTCATCTTACACCCATCAGAATGGCAAAGATCAACAAATAGTGAAACATTCATCCATTGCTGATCGGATTGCAAACTTGTACAACCACCATGGATATCAGTGTGGCAGTTCCTTAGGGAGTTGGTGTATCTTAAGATCCAACTACACCACTCTTGGACATATACCCAAAAGATGCTCCATCCTAATACAGAGTCACTTGCTCAACCATGTTTATTGGTGCTCTATTCATAATAGTCAGAAATTGGAAAGAACCTAGATGTCCTTCAACAGAAGAATGGATAAAGAAAATATGGTACATTTACACAATGGAGTATTACTTGCCCATTACAAATGAAATCATGAAATTCACAAATTAACGGATGAAACTAGAAAAAGGCATCCTTGGTGAGGTGCCTCAAACCTAGAAAGACAGATAGGGTATGTATTTCTTTATATGTAGATATTAGCTATTAAGTCAATAATAACCAAGCTACAATCTGTAGGATCTCAGAGGTTAGGTATTAGTAAGGGACTGAGAGGCATATTTGATTAGTAAAGGAAAACAGAATACACATTTATGGATTGGGGTGCTGGAACAGGAGGATCAAATGGAAAAGGGGAGGAGAGGAGAATGGCTGAGTGAATATGGGGAGAGACAGCTAAAATTAAGGGCCATTTGAGAGGTGGTATGGAAACCTAACACAGTATAAACTTCCTAACATATATAAAATTACCAAATAACAGATCCCCAACTGGTCATCTTTTCTCACTAAATAAAGTTTCTTGTCCAGGGATTGGGATACACTTAATTGAGGTTTTAGCCGGAGTCCCATGGGAACTCCCAAACAACCTAGGCTGTTGTTGCCAAGACAACAAACCCCATTGAGCACGGAGAAATTGAGCTGGTGCCTACGTAGATCCTTCACCCCTCTATTCTAGCATCTTTAGTACAGTAAGCTACTCTGTAGACTACTAAAAGAGAAATGTAAACAGCAACCCAGCCACAAGCCATGCGCAATGGTGGCACAAAGCTTGAGGGAGTAACCAACCAATAGCTGATTTGGCCTAAGGCCCACTCTACCAGATGGAACCCATACCTGACACTAACCGAGTGCCCAAGACTCCAAAGAGCCAGAAACCGAGGGTAAAACAAAAGAAAATGACCTAATGATAGTATGCTCTATTCGGAAACCGTGCCTAGCTCAGTCATCATCAGAGAAGCTCCCTCCTGCAGCAGATGGGAACAGATACAAAGACCCACAGTCAGACAGACATCTGGAAAAAAATGAGAGACCTTGGAACACTCAGCCTTAAAAGGAATGTCTTCATCAAATTCACCCCCTCAGGGCTTAGGGAACCCTGCTGAAGAGGAGGCAGAAAAGAATACACAAGCCAGGGGGAACACCAAGAAAACAACATGATCAAAGCACGTCTGCACCATGTCCTTTATGTATATATTACAGCTTCCAGTTTAATGTCTTTAGGAGATCCCTGACTGTGCGAACCAGTGAGTCACTGTTTCTAGTGCCTTTTTGGGGCTCTTTTCCTTCTGTTCGTTTTTAGCCAATTCCAATGTTAGTTTTTGTTTTATCTTATTATATTTAATTTTATTGCTATCTTTTAGAAGCCTGTTTGGTGTTTTTTTTTTTTTTGTTTTTGTTTTTTTAAGAGAGACAAAAGGGGGTGATCTGGAAGGGAAGGGAAGAGGAGAGGAGCTGGGAGAAGTAGAGGGATGGAAATCTTAATCAGTATATATTATGTGAGAAAAAAATCTATTTTCAATTATAAATAAATGAATAAATAAAGGATTCAGCTAATCATACGCAGCCTGAGCGTAAGGAGTTAA